TGGGCTACCTCGGCAGATCTGCAAATCCCACTAACATTACACATTCAGCGATGCTGCTGAACGCAGCCCGGCGATAGGCCAGCAGGTCCCCCCAGCCGCCGCCACAGCCGCCGCAACCGCCGCCAGCGCCAAAACTACCGCCGCCACGATCACCACAAACGGATGCGACCGCAACCACATCCACCGCGACGATTACAACCAACACCATTTACCGCCATCATCACCACCACGACCACCACGCTTCTCGCGACCACCACAACGACCGACACCAGCACGATCACCGACGTGACCACCACCAGCCCGCCCACCACCAGCGGCACGACCGCCGCCAACGCGACCAAGGCGACGAACGCGACCACGACCATGATCACCAACATGACCATTACAGAAGCACCCGCCCACTCCGTCCCTCCCCCCGCCCCCTACACCTGTCGGGCCGCCCTTGCCGCCGCGCCCGCCTCGCGCCCCTGCCCCTCCCCCCTCCTTTTCTCCTCGTGATCTTCCTCCTCCACCGCCAGCGGCGGGGCCGTTCGCGGAAGGCGGGGGCGCCGCTCGCGGTGACGCGCCGCGGCCGTGGAAGGGGGGCCGAAGGAGAAAAGAGAATGAAGAGGGGCACGGGGTGGCAAGGGAAAAAAAAAACAGACGAGAGAGGAGGGGGGAGGCACTGACAGAGGGAGGCTGGTAGAAAGGAGGAAAAGAAGGGGAGGAGAGAGGGGGGCGAGGCAGGAGAGAGGACGAAGGAGGAGGAGGAATGACAAAAGAGGAGGGACGACGAGGAAGGAAAAGGGAAATCACAGGGGCAAGCACCGCCCTTCCTGGCGCAATGGATGGCGCAGCCGCCGCCACTTGTGAACAGCGCAAGCACGGCGGGCCGACGGCCGTTGCGCATCGCTGCTCGGAGAAATGTCAGGGGCGGGCAAAGTCGCGACTGCGTCGCGCATGCGTCGCGCGTGCGTCGCGCGTGCGTCGCGCGTGCGTCGCGCGTGCGTCGCGCGTGCGTCGCGCGTGCGTCGCGCGCGTGGCGCGTGCGTCGCGCGTGCGTCGCGCGGGTCGATCGTGCGTCGCGCGCCGGCAGGGGTGCGTCGCGCGCGGGTCGGGGTGCGTCGCGCGCGCGTCGCGCGCGCGTCGCGCGTGCGTCGCGCGGGCGTCGCGCGGGTCGTTCGCGCGTCGCGCGCAGGTCGCGCGCGAATCGCTCGAAGGGCGCCGTGGACTCCTGACGGCATGTGAACTGCACGGCCCGCTGGCGAAACAATCAAGGGATGCGCGCGGCAATCGTAGAAATAGCGAGACACGCACGTGAGAACTACGAACGCGAGGAGACCAAGAGACGACATGGAGATGCAGCGCGCACGGACTAATCCATTTCAAGCGCACGCCCCGTCAGATGTTGAACATCGGTCCGTCGCTGCAGCAATTTGGCGACGTCTCGCCCGCCGATGCATTGGGGGGGAAAAGAAGATGGAAGTGAGGCGAGGGAAGGGCGGGCGGAAATGGGAACGGACGGGCGAGGAGGGGGCGCGCGGGGGCGGCGCAGCGGCGGCGGGAGCGATGGAAGGCGATCGAAATGGGGGCGGCGGGAGCGAGGAGGGCGAGAAGAAGTTCCAGGAGGGTGGAAGGACAACGGGGGGCGAGTGGGGAGGCGGACAGGACGGCAGCCTGACATAAAAGAACTGAATACAAATTTCGTAAACGGGACAAAACGCGCAGCGCGTTGGACGAGGGGAAGAGGAAGGAAGAGGGGGGGGCAGGAGGATTGGAGCGAAACGACATGGGGGTGCGGGGCGCGATGCGACGGGGCGAAGTGGCGCCGCGTCGCGCGACGCGACGTCACCCCCACCGGGGCGCGACACGCACAGCCCCCAATCAACGCGAGGCGTATTCGTCCTCAGCAACGGTTGGCGCCCCCGACAATGAGCACCAGCAAATCCTCTTGCGCCGAATTGGGAACAGAACGCGTTGGTGGACCGTCGAACTAGGAGTGCGCCGCGACCGCCAAAATGGCTGCTGGTGCACGGGCGTCGGAAACCTATATATCGCCAGAGCAATTCCGAAGTCGCGCCATATGTCGCCCACGCGCTCTGGGAGGCCGGGATTCGGGACAGAGACGCAAACCAGGGCCGGCGCACGGGCGACGCTCGGGCGACGCACTGAACGAAAACTTGAAGGGGGGGGGTGGTCGCTTCACTGGGCCTTAACATACTACTATTACGACGACGACGACGACGACGAGGACGACGACGACTACTACTACTCCTACTACTACTACTACTACTACTACTACTACTACTACTACTACTCCTACTACTAGTATTACTACTACTACTACTACTACTACTACTACTACTACTACTACTACTACTACTACTACTACTACTACGGCTACTACGACAAACGACGACTACGACTACTAACTGATTACAACTACTACTAGGACTTACGACTACGACTACTACTACTACTACGACTACTGCTGCTACTACTACTACTACTACTACTACTATTACGACGACGACGACTACTACTACTACTCCTACTACTTCTACTACTACTACTACTACTACTACTACTACTACTACTACTACTACTACTACTACTACTACTACTACTACTACAACTACTACTACTACTACTACTACTACTACTACTACTGCGGCTACTACTACTACTACTACTACTACTACTGCTACTGCTACTTGTACTACTTCTTCTTCTTCTATTACTACTGCTACTGCTACTGCTACTGCTACTGCTACTACGGCTGCTACTGCTACTACTGCTACTACTGCTTCTACTGCTACTGCTACTGCTACTACTACTACTACTACTACTACTACTACTACTACTACTACTACTACTACTACCACTGCTACTGCTACTTCTACTGCTACTTCTACTACGACTACTACTACTACTACTACTACTACTACTACTACTACTACTACTACTACTACAACTACTACTACTACTACTACTACTACTACTACTACTACTACTACTACTACTACTACTACTACTACTACTACTACTACTACTACTACTACTACACATCTGCACTTACTGCATTACCGAGGGGACTGCGGGACACGTCTGCGTAGTACTGCTGGTACGCACGAATGCAGACGCATGCTCCATAGCTGCTATTCTGGCTGGCCTACCGTTCAGGCACCAATACTACCAAGTCGCCTACCGCTTCAGGCCCTACCTCCTCGCGATGGCTGTGAGGATGAAATACTACGCGT